TGTAGGGTTGGCTTTGTCACCATAAAATTCTTTAGTTGTTCTTTGTCATGGAAGTATTTCACTTCCCCATCAAACTTGAAAGAGAGTTTTGCAGGGTATAGTAGTCTGGGCTGGAATTTGTTTTCATAGAGGACTTGAAGTACTCTGTTCCATGCTCTTCTTGCCTTCACAGTTTGTGAAGAGAAGTCGACCGTAATTCTGATGTGTTTTCCTTTGAATGTGATCTGCTTCTTTTCTCTAGCTGCTTTCAGTAGATTATTCTTGTGCTGAATTTCTGGGATCTTAACTATTATATGTCTCAGTGTGTTTTTCATTGGGTTGAGGTTATTTGGCATTCTGTATGCTTTGGTTACCTGAATGTCAGATTGTTTACTCATATTAGGGAAGTTTTCTGCTATTACTTCTGCCCATATATTTTTAATGTCATTTGTATTGACTCCTTCATTCTCATTGATGCCTATTAGTCTAACATTGTTCATCTTTGCATCATCTTGCAGGTGATGGATTATTTTTTTTCCTGCATCCTCGTTGTTTTTAAGAGATCCTTGCTTACCTTTTCACTAGCTGCACCAGCATCTTCAAGATCTGAAACTCTATCTTCACTTTCACTTAAATGGTTTTGCAAGCTTGTGATTGAGATTTTAAGTTGCTCCATATTTCTTTGACTCTGCTTCATGACATCTATTTTTTTCCTGTATTGCTCATTCAAGGAATCCATCATTTTTCTAATCTCCTCAATTTTTTAATCAATGTGTTGTTTAGAAGCAGTTATAAATTCTTTTACTGCAGTGTTTTTTTTTCAGATTGGGTTTCCTCCCTATGTTTCTGTAGTTGATTCTTTACTTTAAAAGTTATGAATTCCAAGAATTCTTTTCTTATTATAGAAAATTCTGCTCTGAGTTCCTCTATGACTGTCCGCTGTTGCTTATTTACTATCAACGCTATTAATTCATACATTTGAGCTGAGCTAGTGTCCTCTGCACTTGTTCTGGGTGGGCATTGGGTTTCCTCCATGTTTCTGCATTTGACTCTTAATGTTTTTAAGATGTTATTAATTCAGGGGTTTCTTTTTTCATTTCCAATCTGAGTTCCTCTATACCTTTCTGCAGTTGTTTCTTTATTTCAGAAGCCATTGATTCATTGCTTTCAGCTGTGTGAATCCCAATTTCTTCTGTGCTAGTGTCCTCTGCACTCGTTATGGGTGTTCTTGGGTTCTGAGATTGCATTTTGCTCCTTCTCATTGGAATTTTGTGTAGCACTGTCTCCTGACCTTTGTTGTAGAGCTTTGGTGCAGTTATAACCTTATCACCTACTGAAGTACAGGCGCAAATCTAAAAAGTTTGGATTTATCCAGCTGTGCCTGGCTTGGGTCTGGCTGTTATGCTCAGCTCCTTCCTGTTCCTGCCCTTGGGAGTAAACCTGTTGTGCCCCTCTGGCAAGATGTTCTGCTCCTGGACTAGCTGGGTGGTTCTGTCCTCTACTCTCTCTGCAAGGATTGCAGCTGCAGGGTTTCACCCCAGGCCTGTAATCCAGGCCTGAGCTGAGTTTGGAGAGGACAAGGTGGAGTAAGGGGGAGAGGAAGCTCTTCCATACACTCACCTGGCCAGGGCTAGGACTGGATCTGGTGGTCCCCAGATCGTGGCAGAAATTCTCACTGTTCGGGTGGCGGGGTGCTGGGGAGTGGTGGTGGGGTCCTAAGGGGGTGGAAGAGGTTCTCACCCACGCTGTGCCTGGGCTGGGACCAGCAGGTCCTGTTGGCTCAGGGTAGCCAGAAGTTCTCCCATACACTCATCAGGCCTGGGCTAGGACTGGATCTGGGTGTCCCTAGAACACGGTAGAAATTCTCACTTGGTGGGCACGGTGGGGGTGCTGCAGAGTGTTGGAGGGGGACTCAAGGGGGTGGGAGAGGGTCTCACCCACACTGTGCCTGGGCTGGGACTGGTAGGTCCCACTGGTGCAGGGTAGCTGGAAGCTCTCCCACACACTCTCCAGGTCTGGGCTAGTACTGGATCTGGGGGTTCCCAGAATGCAGTGGAAATTCCTACTCGGAGGTTGGGGTGGGGGGTTCTGTGGAGTGGTGGGAGGCGTCCCAAGGGGTGGAAGAGGGTCTCACCCACCCTGCGCCTGGGCTGGAACCAGTAGGTCCCACTGGTGCAGGGTAGCCAGAAGCTCTCCCAAACACTCACCAGGCCTGGGCTAGGACTGGGCCATATCTTTTTAGTAGTATTATCTTTTTAGTATTATATTCATAATACAAAGTAGTGAGGTTTGTTTAATATATTGGTACCTGCACATAACCTATTTTGATTATTTTCCACCCAACTACCACCATCGCTCTTTTCTCTCTCCAACTTCTTTCCAATCTCTAAAAATCTATTTTGTAATAAGCCATTTATATCTTTAATGTGAAGACTCAAATTTCCATTTAAAGTATTAACTACATTAACATGATAAGCAATAGGCAATATAGGATGATGCAAGATCAGACACCAAAACGTTCAATATATAGACAGTAAAGAAAAATATCTGAGACCAACCCCAGGCCCTGCGAGTGTGGGGGAGAGCTTCTGCTCTGTCCTGTGCCTGCCCACCGCTCCAAGCCCAGGCCCGCTGCATGAGAGAGGCCTTTCCCCACGTTTTCTAGACCTCCCCCGCCCAGCCAGACCGAGCAGAGCCCGCCATCTGAGTAAAAACTTCTGCCATGCTCTTGGGAGTCCTGCAGACCCACCAAAACACAACACTGGTGAGTGTGTGGGAGAGTTTCTGCACTCTCCCGGCCCCGCTCTTCACACCACTCCAGACTCAGCCCAGACCTAGCATACAAGCTTGGGGTAAAACCCTACAGCTAAAGTCTCTGCAGTGAGACTAGGGTCAAATCCACATAGCTAATCCAGAAACAGAACATCTTACCAGAAAGGTACAGTAGGCACACATCGAAGGGCAATAACCAAGAGGGGTACAGCAGGCCTACCTCCAAGGTCCAAGCCCAAGCCAGGCACAACTGTGTGAACTAGACCTTGGTATATCAGTACTTGAATTTCATTAAGTGATAAGGACATAATTGCACCAAAGCTCTACATCAAAGGCCAGAGGTCAGTGTTAAACAAAATGATAAAGATAAGGAGCAAAATGCAATTTCAGGCCTCAAGTCCACCCATAACAAGTGCAGAAGACACTAACTCAGTTGAAATAAATCAATCAATAGTGTCAGAAGTAAATAAACAACAGCAGAAAGATATAGAGGAACTCAGAGCAGAATTAATTTCTGGAATAAAAAAAAGAAAACTCTGAATTTATAGAAGCTGAACTTAAGAATCAAATGCAGAAACATATGGAGGAAACACAATGGCCAACCAGAACAAATGCAGTGGACACTAGCTTAGCTGAAATACATGAATTAGTAGCGTCGGAAGTAAATAAGCAACTGCAGAAAGGTTTACAGGAACTCAAAGATGAATTAGTGTCTGAAATGAAAAAAGAAATCTCTAAATTCATAGCACCAGAACTAAAGAATCAAATACAGAAACATAAAGAGGAAACACAATCTGTAAAAAACTCTCCAGTAAAAGAATTAATAACTTCTTCTAAAGAAGACATTGATAAAAAAAAATAGATGATATTTAAAAAAATGATGGATTCCTTGAATGAGCAATACGGGAAAGAAATAGATCACATGAAACAGAGTAAAAGAGATATAGAGGAACTAAAAATCTCAATCACAAGCTTGAAAAACCGTTTGAGTGAAAGTGAAGATAGAGTTTCAGATCTCGAAGATGCTGGTGCAGCTAGTGAAAAGGTAAGAAAAGATCTTTTAAAAACTAGGATGCAGAAGAAAATAATTCCTCACTTGTAAGACGATGCAAAGATGAACAATGTGAGACTAATAGGCATCAATGAGAATGAAGGAGTCAATACAAATGATACAAAAAGAATATGGGCAGAAGTAATAGCAGAAAACTTCCCAAATAAGAGGAAACAATCTGATACTCATGTAACTGAAGCATACAGAACTGAAAATAAATTCAGCCCAATTAAAAACACACCGAGACATATAATAGCCAAGATCCCAGAAATCCAACACAAGAATATCATATTGAAAGCCATGACAGAAAAGAAGCAGATCACATTCAAAGGAAAACCCATGAGAATTATGGCTGATTTCTCTTCACAAACCATGAAGGCAAGAAGAGCATGGAGCAGAATTCTTCAAGTCCTCTATGAAAACAAATTCCAACCCAGACTACTATACCTTGCAAAACTCTTTCAAGTTTGATGGAGAAGTGAATACTTTCATGACAAAGAACAACTAAAGAATTTCCTGATGGCAAAACCAACCCTACACAGACTACTAAAAGATATTCTTGAGAGGGACCAAAATGATCAGAACTCCAGCAACGAGAACAGAAGAAACCCTCTAAATAGAACAAACGCAAGAGAAAAAACGGCTAAAAAAAAGCGTTCAAATAACATGTCAATTGTAAGTCAACACATCTCAATTATAACCATCAATGTAAATGATTTTAATTCACCAATTAAGAGAAATAGATTGGCACAGTGGATTAGGAAACGAAACCCAACAATGTGTTGCATACAAGAAACACATTTAACTCATAAACTCATAGGCTGAAAGTCAAAGGATGGAAAACAATAGGAAAAAAAAACACTTCAGAAAAAAACAGGGGTAGCAATCTTGATCTCAGACAGTTTCAACTTCAAACCAAAAATGATCAAATGAAATAAAGAAGGCCACTATATACTATTTAGAGGAAAAATTCAAGACGAAGAAATAACAATCATAAATATGTATATGCACCAAACACAGGAGCATCCAACTATATAAGGCAAACCTTAATAGACATGAAAAATCTAATATCTAGCATTCAGCCGCGGAGTCGCTCTGCGCTCCCAGAATGCACCGGCAGTCCGCGGGAAACCAAAATGGCGAAGGGCTGTAGCGAAGTGGGCTGTGTTTGAGGCCGGTCGGTTGGCACCACTGAAGTGACTGAATGAGAGACTCTACAGGGGCAGGTAATTCACTGGTCCACAAGCGGTCTCCTTTACGTCGAAACCAAAAGACCCCAACGTCCTTGACCAAGCTGTCTTTACAGGATGGACAAAAAGCCAAAAAGCCAGCATGTAAATTTGAAGAGGGTCAGGATGTCCTAGCTAGATGGTCAGATGGCTTGTTTTATCTTGGAACTATCAAAAAGATAAACATATTAAAACAGAGCTGCTTCATCATATTTGAAGACAGTTCTAAATCCTGGGTTCTCTGGAAGGACATTCAAACAGATGGAATATTATGCAGCTATTAGAAGTTAAAATTTTGAAAACTGTGAAATACTTTTGATAGAAGAAATATTACATAGTGTTGATGAAAGGAAGCATCTCGTGGTGGAGAGAACATGGATTCTGGCACATCTGGGAGCCACTGGAAGTGGGGAAATGGTCTGTACAATATGTCAAGAAGACTATTCAGAAGCTCCCAATGAAATGGTTATATGTGATAAATGTGGACAAGGGTATCATCAGTTGTGTCATACACCTCACATTGATTCCAGTGTAATTGATTCAGATGAAAAATGGCTCTGTCGACAGTGTGTTTTTGCAACAACAACAAAGAGGGGTGGTGCACTTAAGAAAGGACCAAATGCCAAAGCATTGCAAGTCATGAAGCAGACATTACCTTATAGTGTGGCAGATCTTGAATGGGATGCAGGTCATAAAACCAATGTCCAGCAGTGTTACTGCTATTGTGGAGGCCCTGGAGACTGGTATTTAAAGATGCTACAGTGCTGCAAATGTAAGCAGTGGTTTCATGAAGCTTGTGTGCAATGCCTTCAGAAGCCAATGCTATTTGGAGATAGATTTTATACATTTATTTGCTCTGTCTGCAGTTCTGGACCAGAATACCTCAAACGTCTACCATTACAGTGGGTAGATATAGCACACCTATGCCTTTACAACCTAAGTGTTATTCACAAGAAGAAATATTTTGATTCTGAACTTGAGCTTATGACATATATTAATGAAAACTGGGATAGATTGCACCCTGGAGAGGGTCTCACTATGCAGTTTAGGCTGGCCTTGACCTCACTTCGTAGCCCAGGCTGGTCTCGAACTTGTGGTGATCCTCCTGCCTCAGCTTCTCGAGTGCTGGGATTATAGCTGGCAGACACACCAAAATCTGAAAGATATGAGCATGTTCTGGAGGCATTAAATGATTACAAGACCATGTTTATGTCTGGGAAAGAAATAAAGAAGAAGAAGCATTTGTTTGGGTTGCGAATTTGTGTTCCTCCTGTGCCACCAAATGTGGCTTTCAAAGCAGAGAAAGAACCTGAAGGAACATCCCATGAATTTAAAATTAAAGGCAGAAAGGCATCCAAACCTATATCTGATACAAG